TGACTCAGTGAGATGTTCAGAGCACCAGAATCCCTAATTCAAACTGCCGTACCTAGTTATTCAAGCACTAAGATGCTAGAGGGAATTAGCATGGTGATTACTGATGAGACTCCATTTTGAACTCTCATTGATCTGGTTACCTAGTTCTGCTCGGACAAGAAATATGCTACAAATGAGATGGCCTTAACAAACAGGAGTTTATTCTCTCACAATTTGGAGGCTTTACAACCAAGTTCAAAATGCCAGTCTCTAGGGTCTGGGTGAAAGCCCCTCAACCTTAGTGTCCAGCTCTGCCTCCTGCTCCCACTCCACTGTAGCTAGAGGCATTTCTTCACTCAGACAGCTGCTGGCTGCTGAGGCTGAGAAGCCCCAGGGTTGACAAATAAAAAGGCACCACCCCAATATTACCAAATCACACAGCAGGCCATTAATTTAAGTCCGTTGTAAGTCCCAAGGTTGGCAGAGCATGGCAGGCTGCTGAACAATGACACGGCTACATGCAGGGTCCAGATGTGCCATATGCTAGAGACCATTCCCAGCTGCTTCTTATACAGAGGATGCAGACCACATACCCAAAGCAGTTACTCAGCTGCTTGTGGTAGATCCCACCATGGAGTTGATTGCCAGTCTCATCATGGGGAATAACTACCACCAGCTGCCCAGCCACTCAACCAGGCCCAGCCAAGTGACACCAAAACATAACCACCATACCCATCGATAATCAACACATCCTGATTGCATGTTTGGTCAATTTCAGACTACAGAAGTTGGTAAAAATCTTCAATTTCCTCATCTTTGGTTTTGGTGGTTGGTGCATAAATTTGAATAATAGTGGTATTAACTGGTCTTCGTTATAGTTGTATGTATATTGTCCTATCACTGACAGAATTGTACTTCAGGATAGATCTTGAAACATTCTTTGTGATGGTGAATGCCACACCATTCCTGTTCACTTTGTCATTCCCAGCATAGTAGATCATTTGGTCTAATTGATAATGGCCAAAACCAGTTAATTTCAGCTCCCTTATGCCCAGGATATCAATTTTTATGTGTTCCATTTCATTTTGACAACTTTCTATTTTCCTAGATTCATACTTCGTACATTCCATGTTCCAATGATTAATGGATGTTTGTAGTTGTTTCTTCTCATTTTGAGTCATACCATGTCAGCAATTGGAAGTCCTGAAAGCTTTACTTCATCCATATCATTAAGGTTAGCTCTATTCTGAGAAGCAACTCTTCCCCAGTCATATTTTGAGTTCCTTCTGACCTGAGGAGCTCATCTCATCACTATATCAATGTTTAAGGGCTATTCATAAACTTTTCCAGTAATGTGTCAGACAACGTTTCACTGCTATTCATAAGATTTTCATTGGCCAGTTCTTTGAGAAGTGGATTGCCTCTTCCTTATCTGAGTCTGTTGTAGTCTGGAAGCTCTGCTGAGACCTATCCACCATGGGTAATCCTGCTGTCTTTTGCAACATTGGTGGCATAGGCTCCAGCCTCATAGCAACATGCAAGCCACCACAGGATGACAAACTGACAGAAAAGTTCATGTCCCGTAGTGGTTCCAAACTGCCCTGCTCACCTCCTGGTCTCCCTAAAAGCTGCTAAAACCCTATACCCAACTCTCCTTCTGAGCCACCCTTAAAGCTGCTCCAAATTCCCATTCTAGGCTCACTGCCTTCTGGGCCTCCCTTAAAGGCTGCTTCCAACTGCCTCCGCATCCAGTTCATCGCCTTCCAGGTCTCCAAAGTCACATTAAGAGTCCTCAGACAACTTATACCTGTAAGGGAACAACTTCCAAAAAGATCAGAATTATTAAATGTTCTTTGAGTTGGCATAGCTTTGAAAATGTGGAAGTTAAAACGTAATTTTAGCTAAAAGATAGGCTTTGACAGACTCAACTATCTGATTTTACATTTCAGGGAGATGAACTGAGGAGATGTGAGAAACTAAGCGACTTGGATGAAATTAATTTATTAGTTTCATGTTGATATGAAAATTGTGGTCTTTTAGTAGATCCTATTTCTATACACTACATTTTCATCATAGGTTAAGTGCTTTCCTTTCTTAGAATAGTTAATTTACTTTGAAAATTAAAAAAAAATTATTCAAGAAGACAAAGAATTTTCTTTTTTAAAAAAATTGTACGATTTTATTTTTTTTAGGTGAAAATGTGCCCAGCAGAAGATACACTATTTCAATGATTTCTACATGCACAATTTAGTGACATTGATTATGTTCTTCAAGTTGTGCAACCGTTCTTGCTATCCTCTTCCAAATTATTCCACCACCGTTAACATAAACTCACTTTCCCCTAAGCTTCTCATCTAACCCTTTGAGTAGCTATTGTCAACTTGATCCCAAATAAATAATTATTTAAAAGAGCACAATGCTCAAAGCAGACATTTTACTAATAAGCTATGCTATTGTTTGATTCAAAGACTTTAGGGGATAGTTTTGGTTTGAGGTTTAAGGTTTAAAGATGATCTCAGGGTAATAGTTTCAGTGGTTCATCCAGTTTCCATTGCTCCAGCAAGTCTGGATTTCATTAAGAATTTAATACTCTGTTCTTTGTTTCTCCTGTGACTTCTATAAAATATAGATCAATGGGGTTTCTATCAGCTCTTACCCATTTGTTTATTGAATTAAGTGTGTGAAAGGAGGTGGAATATGTAAGCATGAAAGGAAGAGCCATGATAGCATATTCATACACCCTAATAATATACACATTTATATGAAAGACCTTAACTATATGTTTTTTCTAGATTCTGGCTACTGGATAACTCCTAGAGGAATGAGTTGTGATATGCATTATAAAGTCTTTTAATCAGGATAAATTTCAAATTTTGAGTTTTCTTACAGTGATATGGGCCACAATAAAAAAAATTCTCCCTGAAAAACAAACTTCTTTTAAACAAATTCATTCTAATAAACAAAACTCACTATAAATTTTGCACGTTGCCTAAATATTTTGTTTTAATCAAAGTTCTATTATTAAACTTACCCAGTAAAGATTATGTACTGAGCATTGAAAACGGTAGTTACCTCTACTCTTTCTACTCACTTGATGAAATATCAAAGCTGTTAGTAATTATAGTTAATCAACATTATGAATTATTCTTACAGTTAATTAATCTAGGCTAACTTTCTTTTATCACTACTTGTGCTTCTCAACAATTTTTATCCATGCATCTCTTTTTCATCTGACCCATTTTAAAAAATGCAGAGCAATTTTAAAGTGATTGTACCAAATACTTCTCTTCTTTTCCTGCCCCCCCCCCAAAAAAAAAAACTTTTGAGGAAAGAAAAGGGTACACACTGCATAGGAGAATTCTTTGAACAAAAAAAAGTATATATATATTATTACTATTTTTTTTGCAAATAATCCATGCAAGTTTTTCCACTAACCTTGCAAGACTTCTGCATGTTATTTTTGTAAGAGTATTATTTTTGTAAGAGTGCTATGGCTTACTTATGTTACTGACTTCAATTTCTATTTCTTATCACATGGAATCTGCACTTAAGGTAGGCATTGATTTTATATAGTTGGAATGTAAGTCAAACGTATTTACCAGTAGATCAATGTGATATATAAAATTTAAGTTTTGTAATTTCCTGGTAAAATGTCATCATCATTCTGGTGAATGGAGGAATGGGATAACATGTTAAACCAAAGAATAGGAATGCATGAATAACTACCAAAGTAACATTTTCAGACTGTTTTTATACACATAAATAGGAGATTTAAAAAAATGAAGAGAATGAAAGAAAATGAACAGAACAATGTGATTTCCTGTAATATGAAAAGATGACTGAATGAGGCTAAAATTCACTTCTGGAAATGTTATGAGACATTGTGGTATATGCATTAGCATGCTATGCCAGAACAGTTTTATTTATTTTCACCATTTCTTCACATTATAAGTTTGCTCACATTATTTGTGATAAAACATGGTAGAACTATATTTCTCATCAGAGACTACATACGAAACAGAAGAAGGAAGGGATTGAGGGACAAGATGCCATGGTGGGGAGTGGGTTATTGGTATAAAAAAAATACTACTACTTTCAAATCCTATGTTTACATATTTAAGGAGTAAAAATTGAAATTCTCATCTACTCACATTTATTTAAGTGTTACTCTGATACAGATATGGCTTTATGGGTATAAGACTGCTTGAGTTTCTTTTAGTTAAAATAAGAATCAAAAGGATAAAATGTTAACATTCACTTTTCTATTGCCTTTCTCTAATCTGACTCTGTCTCAATAATCAGGCCTCAAGTATTTTCTCCTTGGAGAAAACTATGTAGTGTACTACTTCATATCTAAGAAGGGACGATGCACACATACACACAAACATGTGTGTTTTGTATGTCACTGGGCATTTATACACACTCACACACACCTGTCTGTTTATATGAAGAAGTAATGGAAGGAAAAATGATAAAATAATAGAAAAAGCAAGTTGTGAAATAATTCTCTCAAGTGATTATAACATTTTCACTCCTACCATAATGTATGAGAGTTTAATTTGTCCCATATTCTTGCCATTTGGTGATGTTAGTCTTTTTTGATTTTAGCTATGTTTGTAATTATAAAATGGTATCTCATTGTGGTTTTCATTTGCATTAAATTTTTTGAGTGCTTTTTCATGTACCTATTTGCCATTCTTATATCTTCTTTTGTAAAGTGTCTATTCAGCATTTCACCTGCTGTGAGGGAGTTATTAGTCCTTTAATTTTTAATTTGTGCTTTTGTATATATTCTGGATATGTTCTTTGTCAGATATATGTGTAACTATCCCCTTGCCTCTGTTATTTAACAATAGCCACATCAAAAGATATTATGTATAGAAGGTTAAGTATTACGTATACATTTAATATTTCTAAACTGCTAGAAATTTTGAAAGGAAGCTAAAGTAGTACATATATAAAATGCAGATTTTAAAGTTTTAAATTCAAAACAAAATTAAATTATGTTGTTTTTGTTTCAGGTGCAGTTAAAAACTAGCATCTCTAGTCAGTATGTAATTCGAATGCAACCAACTAATAGTTGCCTTTCTACACTGGAGTGTGCAGCTGTTGCTCTTTCCATTTTAGAGAAGAATAATTACATACAAGAGGTATGTCTTTGGGAGGTTATAATTTTTGAAAGTAGAAGTTTGTTTAGATTTTATGTAGAAAATTTAGAAATGTGTCACTTGTTTAATTTGTAACTTAAATGACAAGAAGAATATATTTGTAATAGAAATTTATGTACTTTTATAACCTTGTTTCCCGCTCTGGTGTTTTTCCCCTCTGCTGTTTTTCTGGTGTTTTTCCAGATTGCATTACTTAAATATTCATACTAAGCCGTGCAAACAGCATTTGTAATATTTTAAATTGCATTTAGGTAGCACAACATTAAATAGAGTTTTAGGATTGGTTTTTCATTTAGTATTCTTTATTTTTCTCTCTTAGTATTTTGTGTTCTTTTGTACCCAACTTCTTTTCTTTTCTTAATTAGCAACTAAAACAAGATATGTCATACACACACACATACACACATGCAAATATACATACATACATTGGTGCTTTTTTTTTTAAGAAGTATACTAATTTTCTGTTTCTCTTATTCACCCTACTTACCCTACTTAGATTGCAAAAAATATATTTTTTTTAAAAGAGAAATGCCATATGCAATCATCATTTTATTTAATTTCCATGAAAGCCTGATGATTCCGTTTATAACTAATAATCATCAGAAAAGAATGTTTCAGTGTGCTCACCAGTATCTTAGTCTTTTGTGACATACAAGAAACTTTGCACTTAGGGTAAAAAAAAAAAAAAAAAACTAAACTAAATACCATTGAAATTGTTAGGGTTTTTAAATCATTGAAAACTTTAGTAAACATAACTGAAGAATAAAAGTAAGAGGGTTATGAACATAACTAAATGGAGTTTTATAATGCTTCCCCCACAGTCATCCCCTCCCCCTCCCCAACATTAAGAACTCTTTTCCTTCTTTTTTTTTTTCTTCTCTGTCTCTTATTATGTACTCTGGCTGTTTATATTAGGGTGTCCTCCAGCCATGACGATAGTTTTAGTAATGGATCAACAGCTCAGATCAAAGTGATTGGGTTAGTTATCAAGATGCTAATCCTGAAGAGAATAAAAAAAGTCTCAAGAGCAAGGAGAGTTAAAGAGTGAATTGCAAGCTCCGAATTGCCTTCTTCCTCTTCCCTATCCTTAGCGATAAGAAACCTCAGAGTTGGAGACTCTCCTTTTGAAAGACACAGGCTGTGCTCAGTAGATTTCTCTCTCTCTGTAGACTTTGTCTTAGGTATAGGCAATTTCTCTTTCTTTTTTCTCTCTCCTTGGGGAAAAAAAAATTCACAAGAGACCCTCAAGGTCTGTACTTCAAATGACCAGAGAGTGTTCTCGAATTTTTCTCCATCCCCTGGACTTAGCTACTGCTTGTATGTACTTGCTTCTCAGCATAGCAATTATATATACCTTTCCATTTGCTTTTTTGTTCTATTATTATTAGTCATTTACTTATTTGTTAGAATTTACCATCATACATATATATTCTTGAGCAAAAAACTGCACTTTTCAAATAGATAAAGTTTAAAATCTGGAAGAAAAAAATACAATATATTTTGGCTATAGATTCAAAACTTACTCTTCTCCCCTTTGTTTGAGTTCTGGAAAGAATCTTCCATGGATGTATATCTCTAATTCTCACCACAGTTTGACCGAGATCTTTACTGTAATCCTAAATGTGAACTTTAATATGTAGGTAGTGATGGTGGTTATAGTAATAATGATTATAGTATAATAGGGTTAGGGCCAGAGATAGGCTTTATACTACTACAGCTGCTACTACTTGTACTGCTATTGCTCTCCCATTCCCAGGTTTATAAGAGATTATTCTTTTTGTTTGTTGTTTAGTTTAGTATTTTATTTATTTTTGGTTGGCAATATACAAAATTCAACATATAGTCATCTACAATTTCTACATGAACAGCTTAATAGCATTGGTTACATACTTCACATTGTGTCACCATTCTCGGTTATCTCAACCCATATAGTTTCATTTTTATGCTCTCTGCCACATAGCTGCATTAGTCCAATTGTGTAACCATTGCCTTTCCTGTTTCCATTGTTGTTGAGTCTATTCTGACTTATAGCAACCCCATAAGAAAGAGTAGAACCGTTTGATAAGGTTTCCAAGGGTGTAATATTTATGGAAGCAGAAATCCACATCTTTATCCCAATAGAGTGATTGGTGGGTTTCAATCACCAGCCTTTTGGTTCACAGCTGACTGCTTAACCACTGCAGTACCAGGGCTCCCCATTAACCTTAATTAATGCCAGTTTTCCCATAACCATAAACACAAATTCACTACTTCCCAGAGAGTGATTTGTCCCTCCCTTCATTGAACTCTACCTATTTTTGTCATTTCATATACATGAGACCATACAATATTGTCATTTTGTAATAGACTTACTTTGCTCAATATAATGTCTTTGAGGTCATTCATGTTGTAACACATATCAGGACTTCATTTTCGTTTAAGTCTGAGTAGTATTCCATTGTATGTATGGATCACCTTTTGTTTATCCATTCATCTGTTGATGGTCATTTTGGTTATTTCTACCTCTTTTATTGTAATTATAAATACTTTTGCTGTAGTTATAAGCATTAATACATAATCACAGCAGGAAACTGACAGAGTATTCACAGTTGCCTATTTCTTACCCTCTGCTTTGTCTTAAGAAAACTTTAGTTAGGCTTCTTCCCTCTCCACGTAAATGTTTACTTGTCTGGAAGCCAACATGTTCCTTGTATCATCAGCTTATCCCTAGAATAGGCAGACCATACGAGACATATTTTTCTATCAAATCACCATGATTGCTCTTGCTTGCCCAACTTCTCCTAAGTTTCTTCTGAACTTTGCTTCTCCCTACAAAAGATTTTGAGATGCTTGCAGCTTTCTGAGATTGGAGCATTCTCCCTATTGCAATAGTCTTTTTGAATAAAGTTTCTCCTAGCTAAGTCTAGATCTGTTTTTATTTGACAAAAGGTATTATCCAGGGTTCTATTTTACAAATATTCTAGTTATTACAAGTATCTAGGGTGACTTCTTTCAAAATTGATTGAAAAGGGCTTTTTTTTCCATTTTAGAAAATATAGCAAATGTAGAGCAACTTCATTTATGTTGTTTTAGGGTTTCTTATCCTTCTGCATGCTTTTATTTTCACTTTTTACTTGACTTTTCAGTACTTGATACAGCTGAAAGCATTTACTGAAGACATAAGCTAAAAATTGATCTTGATTCTTGCTAGATTGGATATGTTTTATGATATATCTTTTTTTTAAAAAAAGAAAGACGTCCTTATTGTGGCTTCTGTGAGACTAAGCAAAAAATCTTATATTCTGAGTATAATGTCTAAGAACAGGCAAAATTTAGAATACAGAATGGTGGCAGGACCTTTTATCTATTCCACTATTGTCTTCAGATTACATTAAACACAAAATCCCAAAGTAATGGTTAAGTCGTAGTGTTCTTATTTCTCTTGCTTTTTGTTGCCAGGAGAAGTTGTACTACAGTGGCCAGAAATATAAAAAGATGTAATTTGGGAGGTGCTAATAAGATGATGGGTGGGAGCATGAACATGAGAAATGCATAATGAGACATCCCAAGTGCTTATTATTACAGATGGCAAAAATTAGCCCTTAGCCAATTTGTACTAAGGGCTGCTTTCTCAGTGTGGGAACCCTAATTCTAGACTGTTATAGTTTAGCTAAAATTAAAAATTAGCCCATTTTTCTGTGAAACACAGTTTCTGTCTATTCTGAATATATGTGTTTCTCCCCCTGGGAAAGAATGTTCTGTTGTACCTTTATCCTAAATAAGCTCTTATTGTTGTTGTTGTTATGTGCCGTTGAGTCGGCCCCAACTCATAGCGACCCCTCCTTGGGTTTCCGAGGCAGTAACACTACGGAAGTAGATTGCCCAACCTTCCTTCCGAGGAGTGACTGGTAAAACCTGAAGATGATGGAACAGAGTAGGTAATTGTCCAGCTGGCGTCATCCTATAGTTGTTATCAGGTGCCGTTGAGTGGACTCCTACTCACAATGACCATATGTACAACAGAAGGAAAACACTACCTGGTCTTACACCATTCTCACAATCCTTTCTGTGCTTGAGTGCATCATTGCAGCGATTATGTCAACCCAGCTTCTTGAGAAGCTTCTCCTTTTCCACTGACCCTATATTTCACTAAGCATGATATCTATTCCTCTCCAGGGATCCCTCTGAAAACATGACCAAAATATATGAGAAGAAGTCTGACCATTCTTGCTTCTAAGGAGCATTCTGGCTGTACTTCCAAGAAAGATTTGTTCCTTCTGGCAGTGCTTGATATTTTCACTTTTTTTCACCAACACCACAATTCAAATGCATCGATTCTACTTTGGAGTTCCTTATGCACTTATTCCTGCTTTCACATGTAGATGCAGAAGGAAGACTGGGAAATCTACTTCCTTAAAGATTTATAGCCTCAGAAACCCAAAGGGGTATATGAGGTGATTGAAAATACCATGCTTAGGTTAGGCACATCTCAGTTTTCAAAGTGACATTTTTGCTTTTTAACACTCTAAAGAGGTCTTGACAGCAGATTTGCTCAGTACAGTATGATGTCTGATTTCTTTACTGCTACTTCCATGGTCATTGATTGTGAATCCAAGTAAAATGAAACCCCTGACACCTTCAGTCTCTTCTCCATTTATTGTGTTGTTACTTATTTGTCCAGTTATGAGGATTCTTGTTTCCTTTATGTTGAAGTATAAGGTATACTGAAGGCTGTAGTCTTTGATCTTTATTAGTAAGTGTTTGGAATCATCTTCACTTTCAGCAAGCAAGGTTGTGTCATCTGAATATCACAGGTTATTAATGACAGCATGACCAAAGTAGGTGAGATGAAGTCTAGCCATTCTCACTTCCAAGGAGCATTCTGGCTGTGTTTCTTCCAGAATAGATTTGGTAATTCTTCTGACAGTCCATGGTACTTTCACTATTCTATACCAACATCACAACTCAAAAGCATCAAGTCTTCTTCAGTCTTTCTTATTCAT